ACTATTTTTAAAAGATTAATTTAATAAACTGCAAAGATGGTAAATGATTCAAAAACAAAATACAATAAAAAGTTTGTCTTGTTTCATTTTATTGCTATGCAATGTATCAGAGAATGACAAAATTATTATCTGATGAAGTTTACTATTTTGTTCATTGAATAATCATAGTTGGATCCAGGATAGACTAAGGAGAAAGCTCTGTAACCTGGGAACATCCTTCCCAGTGAAATTAATTGTATTATTAGACAAACTGCTTCAGCAGCTGGCAAAACAGCAGGAACACGTCGATTCTGCTTCCTTGGTTACAGGGAGTGATAGTGTACTTGACCTTCAGAGGAACAGGGTCATGGGGAGGGCATTTTTAAATAATTCTGTCATTTTATCACTGGAATCTTTGTAAATGGAGTTCAGATACAACCTTTGGGAGCAGAATAAAACTGATGTCTTCAGTTTTCTTCAATTGTTTTGCCCAAAGATCTTTGCTGAGGAAAAATGTAAATAAAACTGCAGAACGATTTGACACTGTAAGTATTAGAGTCTGTCTAGTTTCAAGCGTGAAGCAAATAATTCTACGATTACTAGGGATAAGATTCTTCTTTAGATGAATATATAGAATATATAGGTAGTATTTGTTTATGCATTATCTTAATAATTTTTTATTAAATGACATTTTACCATAATTTAAACTGGTAATAGATTATTAATATTTTTACCAAATGAATGGATTTATTAATCAGGAATATTTTAAGTGTTTAGAAAAGGCCATTATTTTCATACTGATTTTAACTAACAGTTTTAATCATAATTCTCATTTATTGATATATTTTACTGCTTCATATCCTTTATATGGTAAGCAATGTTCCTTAACACATACTGTTAATTCATATTGTAACTATTTTTATAACAATCACAATAATTATTAACATTGTCTGATAAAATACATTACTGTATTTGATTTTGCATTATTGAAGTCAGATTATTATTGCATTCCTTAAGAATAAGTCTCATACTAAGCAAACTACGTGCTTTCCTATTTCAAAATTATCTAATGCAGTCTTTCCAAAATTAGTACTTTATAAAACTACTCTTGGCCATGGTGGCTGGGAATGATGAGAGTTTTTCTTAAAACCATCTAGATAGAAGCAAGTTGCCAAAGGCTGTTTTAGACTAAGGTATATAAAGGTGAACTAGTAAGAAAAAAAAATGTTTGTTATATTCATCATATTAATGCATGCATACGCACACATAATACAAACTGTTTTAAATTAAAATTTAAAACTAAATCCATATATTTGCATATTTTATTTCAAAGGTCAATTTTTTAACAGAGCTAGATATATATTATTGCTTGTGGCAAATTATTCTTCAGCGGCACATCTGACATTTCTTGTATTTCATGTCCATTTCAAAAATGCCATGCAACTTTCTGAATGAAAAGTACTTGTGCTTTTTAACCATCTTCTCTTCTGGGGAAAAATCAAAATTCCTCTATAAATGGCAACTTTAATACAAGTTCATATATTTGTATCATTGGTCTGTTTCTTTTAATTCAAAATGTCAGCAATATAACATCAAGGACCAAGCTGAAAAGATGCAAATAATTATCTATTCTAAATATCTTAATCTTGTAAGCCACCAAGAGTCACTTCAAAGCAAGATGGGCAGCAAAAAATAAATAAACAAATAATAAAATAAATAAATAAATAACCTTATTTTGTATAAAAACATAGACTATAGTAGACATTTTCGACTCATTCTGTGATACTTCCAATCTATTTATTTTAAACTTAAATATTTTTAGATAGCATTTCATGGAATGTTTTTTGAGATTGTTGTTAATTGTATTTCTAGTTAAAATAAGTTAGTAAAAGACACATATTATTTGTGTTTAAAGTAAAAAGATTTTGCTTGGAACTGGATTTTTCTCAATATGTACAGTACTACAAATAGTCATTAACTTATGACTATAATATCATAAGCCATAAATCATAACAACCATAAAATAGTTCACCCACATGACCCAATTTTATGACCTTTTTTATGGTGGCCATTAAAAGAATGCAGTTATTATAAAGTAACTGCCATGAGCATTAAGTCAACACTGTGGTTGTTAAGCATACCGATAATTTGTTACAAGACAGTTTTGCTGAAAACCAGAAGTAAATGCCAGTTTCAAGCAAAACTCAACATGGGACCATGGGACACTGCAGATAGCTGTAAATGTGGGCGGGCTGCCAAACATCTGACATGTGATCACATGACCATGGGATGAGAGTCTTGGAACTTCAGAAGTGGCTCATAAATACTTTGGGGGACTCTGTCATAACTTCAAACTTCGCCTAACGATGTGATTTGCTTTTTGGACATAGTAACTTGCTTTATAAGTTATGGCAGAAACCCGAAGACCAGCTGACTAGTGCACATGTGTGTGCCAGCCAACTGCTCTCACGCCGGCCAGCTGGTCTTCAGGTATCCGGTGCGCATGAAGACCAGCTGGCGAAGACCAGAAACCAAAAGAGTAGTGATGGCGCGCGTGCCCACAGGTTCGCCATTACGGCTATATAATTGATTTCTTTTTGACATTTATATGAAAGGATATTAAGATGATTCATTTGAATATTTGAGTGCTATGTATTTTTTTTAAAACACATGATACAGTTTACTTCAAAAAGTAATGTAGTGTGTGACCCAGGAAGTCCACACTCCGCTTGCTTGCTTGTATTGTCATATGTATATCATTTGAATAAGATATTTTTTTAGGCCTTCACGTGAACATGAAGATAAATTTTGATAGAATGTCAAGATTGACACATAATACCAAACAATGGACTCATCTTACTGCATGAACTTTAGGTTTGTTCATTCTGTCTTCCATGTACTCCCTTATATTATTATAGCAAACCATTGCTTATCATGATATCTTAAGTAGATATAGATGCCACACCACTGAAATATAGAAAGAAGTCTGTTAATCCCTAACTATTTCCATCTGAGTTGAACTATTAAATTGATCACATTTATCTATATAAAATAATGTTCCAAATAATATTCTCTTGGAAGTGTTTGGAATTCCCCTTTCCTATGATTCTGTTCTAAGAGACAACTAAAAACATACCTCCCTTCAGTTAGAAAGGAGATTGATGACTAATGTCTCTTAACTTGCCATCTTCTTGGAAATGACAAATATAGTCAGTAGGATATTTAAATTAAGTAAGTCTTATTTACAAAATGAAAAAGAAAGAGTTTATTAATCTTCTGTAAGGCCTTAAAGTCCTGGGCGTCACGATGTGGAGTTGAGTCAGTACATTGGATAGATCTGACAGATCTGTTTTTACCCTGGCTGCTATTTTATGTGTCTTTTTAATTTTTTTTAAAAAATATTTTAGATGCCCAGTCATTAATTTGAGATGGGCAGCCATCATTATTTATTTATTTTGTATCCCACGTTTATTATTTTTTGCAAATAACTTAGGATGGCAAACATCCAACATACCTTCTTCCTATTTCCCCTTAACAACAACCCTGTGAAGTAGGTTGGACTGAGAGAGTGACTGGCCCAAAGTCACCCAGCTGGTGTTTGTGGCTAAGATGGGACTTGAACTTAACGATCTCCCACTTTCCAGCCTGATGCCTTCAACACTAGACCAAACTGGCTTTCTATATAAATAAATACAAAACTTGTTATCAGGAACTTGTCCACAACCTCTATTTTACATGTTATACTATGTTTGGCAAACTTCTCTCATTCAAAATATTTATCAAACATCCTTAGTCTATGTCATAGGAGACCCTTTATCTTTATGTATAAAGATGGTGCAGTGGTTATAATGCAGTATCACAGACATACGCTGCCTACAGCCTCGAGTTGGATCCTAACAGGATTCAAAATTGACTTAGCCTTTCATTCTTCCAAGGTTGGTAAAATGAGGACACAGATTGTTGGGGCAATATGCAAATTATGTTGACATTGTAAACTATCCAGAGAGTACTGTAAAGCATTATGGGACGGTAATGCTTTGTCCTCCTCTTTGAAGAAAGACTTCGAAACGTTCCAACACAAGAATGATTTTACCTATGCCCCTAGAGGAAATAGAAACAGTTTCACAGGACTTGAAGTGTCTTTTTTTTTTTTAACGGACATGGCATATAGTCACCCAAGATCAGAAAGATCACTTGGTTTCTTTTAGCTGACAGCTCAGTAAATATTTGTATAAGGGTTACCAAATTTCTTGTAATTGCTGTTGTTGCAAGACAGTTAATTATATAGCAATCTTGTTAATTTGTTTCCTCTAAGGTGATTTGTATTCCTTTTGGCTTGGTTGGTTGGTTTTAATGCTCTTTATTTATTCTTCTGGTTGCTTTAATACAGGCAGTATTTTAGTTTTATCTTCTATGCTTTATCTTCTGACCATAAACTTAATTTTAAAATAATTATAATTTTAATAATTATTTAATTATCCATTTATCTTAGCTGTTGCATTGGGCTGTAATATATTAAAATGTGCTTGATACTTTGGTCTCCGAGGGCATATAGCCTTCAAATAGTTTACATTATTACCTTTAAATAATACTTCTTTTTAATCAATGCCACATATATCCTTATCTTCACATCCTTATCTTTACATCAAAAGAGATAGGTAATTGAATTCCATTTCCTGGATTCCCTATTAAGAGAATGGTAATGCATGAAACAGTTTTATTAGTGCACTGTGTCTGAAACTTTTCTTTCTGATGGAAGGTTCTAGTCTACAATGCAAAAATAAAATGACATAGATACCACATTCAGCATACCAGCTTCTCTTCTGAATCCCTTAGAGCCTGTGGAACTGATTTGGAAGGCATTCTTTGGAGTTTGGAAGCAAAATAAGTGCCTTATAACATGGAGAATCTTGAATGTGCACTGTGCTGTACATTTCCCCAATCAAATGATTTCAATTATTTAATAAAATATTAAGTTATATAATATTCATTGTAAAGTATTTTTTCATAAATCATTCTAGGTCCAAACTGTCCAGTCAACCTTATCTGAAACTCCAGTGATGACCAGCCCTTCCCAGCGCATCCAGATAATCTCCACAGATTCCACTGTATCATCACCACAACGTATTCAGGTATAGACTTGTCTTCTAAATATAGTCTGTTTCATCTCTTTCTGCTTAATATGTAGCATCAAATAACAGAGCATTTTAATTTAATTTTTTTCTTTTATATAATAATTTCAAACCTAATATATAATTTTATAGTTATTGTCAGCATTCTGATGCTGCCATAAAAAGGAGGAGACGAGGCTTGACTTTTCACCTACTTATTTTCTCTGTAGATAATATCCCCTAGGAGATGGGATGGGAGGGGGACATTCCTTTGGGTTGAGGTCGGAAGCTGGGGAGACTGACTTGGAAGATGGCCAATGAGAAGATGAGAATTGGGGAACGGAAAGGGAAGGATTTGGGGGTCAGAGGGTTAGTATCGGCTACGATGAAGTCGGGGCCAGATCTGTCGTACTCAATAAATGGAATATTTCAGCAAAGATTAATTGTTTGGGAGTGCAATTTATTTGAGATGACATCGAAACCTGACAGTTATTTAGTAACAGTGTACAAAGAGCAGATTTACTATGAGAAAGTGATCTACTACTTGAGAGGTTTTATTTTATTATTGGAACTATGTTTTTGTAAGCATCTTGTGGGAGAGCCTTCTTTTCTATGTATGTACTGGTGGACAATACATGTTTGAAGACAGTTTCTTGTTTCATTTTGAGTAATCATGTACATATTCGAAACACCTGTTGATAGAATCTTTCCATTTTTACTGTAGCATTTATTTCTTTTTTGCATAACCTGCATCCATAATTTGGTAACAGGAAAAACAGCATCCTTAAATAATGGCATATAATTCTTAAAAGTGAACTTAAAGCTTTTTAAATTTATTTTTTTAATGTATTAAATTTATTCTCGCACAATAATGTTTTTGTTATAGATTGTCACAGATCAGCAAACAGGGCAGAAAATTCAAATAGTGACAGCAGTGGATTCATCAGTATCCCCAAAGCAACAATTTATACTTGCTAGTCCAGATGGTACTGGAACAGGGAAAGTAATACTAGCTACACCTGAGACTTCTAATACCAAGCAACTTATTTTTACTACCACAGATAATATTGTACCAGGCAGAATACAGGTAAACACCACAGTTAAAGAATGATACATATATTGGATATTCAGACTTAAGAACATGCAGAAAAATGGCTTTTACTTTAACTAATTAGCATGGGTCTATAAAATTTATATTCTAGTCTCCACATCATATTGCTAAAATACTATCAGCTCAACAAAAATCAGATGATTTCAAAACATAGAAATAAAACTAAAGGTGTGATTAAGATTATATAGATCAATATTGTCATATTATGCAAACAAGGCAAGAGGCAGTGGTTTACATTGTCTTGAGGCAATTAGTAGATGGCTGCCATGTGTATGAATCACTATAACTTTCCTTTACATTATCATGCCATCAATTACCATGCAAACCTTTAAGCCTTTTTCTTGCTGGCTATGCTATACTGTTATTTTTTTTAATAATTTTTCCACATTTCTTCCCTTTCTGCATGTTTATTATGCAGTTGCACAACTGTGGCACAGCTGTGTTTTATGTTTAAAAATTTGCAACATCTTTTAAATACAGTTTCAAATAGAAATTATACTACAAATTTTTAAATGTTTCATTTTAGATTGTCACTGATTCTGCCTCTGTGGAACGTTTATTAGCTAAAACTGATGTCCAGCGGCCACAGGTAGTAGAGTACTGTGTTGTCTGTGGAGACAAAGCATCAGGTAAGATGCCAAGTTACTTGGTTGAAAGAACACATTTGCCTAAACACTCACACAGAACTAATCTTTCACTGAAAGGCAGGTTTGGTGACGATAAAAACAGAAGAAACTTTTTTGGCAGAAGGGATTCTTCAAGAAAGTAAAAAAAAAACTTGACTTGTAATGGTGATATTGTTCATTTTCCATAGACTTCCTGGCCCCTAAATGCACATACCTTTTAGTCACATACGCAGTGAGAATATCTTCCAGAGCTCCCAGGAACTTTGCTGTGGTTCTCAGTAGAGAGGCGCAGCATCATGAAAATTGTATTGCCTAACAATGGAATTTCATGGGGTGCTGAAAGAAGCAAAGTGATACAATTAAACTAAAGAGACAAAATCTAATTTTTGAAGTACTGGTTTGGCCTCAGAGCGAAAGAATAGAAGATAATGTCTGGGAAGATTTTAGACTGACTCAATTAAATGTTTGAATACTTTTGGTTCCATGTTAAAAACCATTTGATTTTTTTAAAAAATGGACTTAAGTTCAAAGGAAGTAAGGTGAAGAGCACAAGACACACAATGATTTTGGCTCTGCTTAAAATAGGACAGAAGAAAGGATCACTAAACAATGAATACAACACATGTCCTAAAGAACAGATAGAAGCTTTCTTTCATTTTTGTCTTTTTGACTGAGTTTTCAGTTGGCTGATTCATTATAATAAAAACTAGGTAGGGAATTTTCAAATCAAGATGAGGCCATGAATGGTACCAGTGTAATTCTTCAATGTACTAATTTATTGGGTGCAGATTATTTCAGAAGGCGAATGCTGATTGTCTAGATTTTTCATTGGTCAGTTTGTAGATTTCAGTAATTTGCTTGATTGAAAGTTTTGCTTGTGTTGTTTTTGTGCAGTTCACAGGAATATTTCTCCTGATTGAGTTAATGCAAAAGACACATAAATAGTGACTTTTTATTAAAACCAACTAGCCATATCATCAGAATAATTTTTCTTCTTTCTGCTTGAGTCATAGCTCTTCAGTTATTTTCCAGAACAAAAGAAACTTGAGAATACTAGGGTAATACTAGTGCAATAAGTATTTATTTTTTAAAAAATACATCATGATAAAGCCGCTTGACCATAGCTAGTGAGCATTTTTTGAAGGAATAGGCAAAGAGCACTAATATAAATAAAGCCCCAGACAAGAATGAGAAATATTCAGAACTTTTTTCTCCTCATCCCCTATAAACTATCTGAATAAGGTTTGTCAAATTTTGCATTATCATAAACCCCAAGATGATAAATAAATGTGTATGTTGATAAATCTGAACAAGAAATAAATAGTGCTTTGAGTAATTAAATTGTAATTGTATATCAAATGGTACATTTATACAACAATGCAACTTTATAAAATATAACGTTTTCTTTAGGACTGAACAGTAAAGCAATCATATTTAAAACTATTTTTGTAATGGTTGGGTTAAGCTTGTTTACTTTTACAAAATTATTGAAAAATGGACAAAACTATTTTTGAGGTAGCCACTATTGTTGTATATTTATTTTGGATTCATATTGCTATTAATAGCAGTAATTACAAGTAGTCCTTGACTTACAACCACAATTGAGCCCAAAATTTCCATTGCTAAGTAAGACGGTTGTTAAGTGAGTTTTGCCCCATTTTACAACTTTTATTGTCATGGTTGTTAAGTGAATCACTGCAGTTGTTATGTTAGTAACACAGTTGTTAAGTGAATCTGGCTTCCGCATTGACTTTGCTTCTTTGAAGGTCGCAGTAGGTGATTGTGTGACCCTGGGACACTGCAGCCATCATAAATACATGCCAGTGACCAAGCATCCAGATTTTGATCCCGTGACCATGGGGCTGCTGTAACGGTCGTAAGTGCAAAAAACGGTCATGTCACTTTTTTCAGTGCTGTTACAACTTCAGACAGTCACTAAATGAATGGGTTTACATTGAGGACTACCTGTCTGCACAATCATTACTTTGCTTCAGCCTTCAAGGCAAAGTGGGAGCATATTTTGAAAGAATCAAATTTGCAGGTACAAGCCATTATACTTGCACCCTCAAATCTGGAGCCTTATCAGAATATGCTCCAGACAGGAATAAGTTCTGACAAGATTCTAGTTCTGTTTTCACAAGACTCATAACATTAACATGGAAAGCTAAATTTCAGTACTGAAGAATATATGTAGTTTACAGTTAACTGTTAGGTTCTCATTGCCTTCTGAATTTGGTTGTTTTCCTGCAGATATTTGAATACCAAACTAGGTAACTAACAACCACTATGCAGGACAAACATGTAGAAAATTGGTAGAACGCATGATGTCATGGTGAAAGATCTTTAATTTCTCACAATTTCAGTCACAATTTCAATTGGGAAACTTGATATTTGAGATTGTCAAATCCAAAGATGTTAGGGATTCCTTGGGTACTTGACACATTGACAAATCAACCATCAACCCCATTTACATACAGATATCCTCAATTTACCAGCGATCACTTAGTGACTTTTTGAAGTTACAACAGCCTCTCCCCCCCCCCCAAAGGACCGAGTTCCGAATTTCTGATGGCTGCCCCCCTGTTGTCACATGATCATATGTTGGGCGCTCAGCAACTGGCCTGTATTTACAGCCATTGATAGAGTACTGCAAATGTCTGCATTTTATATTCATTTATTAATTTATATTTCATATTTATGAACTGCCCATGTCCCTCAAAGAGGGACACTGGCTGGCATAAAATAAAACATTAAAATATAAAACGGCATATGAAAATTACACTGTTAAGGTTTTAAAATTAAAATTTTAAACATCATAAACATTTTCAAGGAGGCATGAATAATTAAATTCTGCTAAAAATTAGTTGACAAAGGTAAAGGGGGGTTTCTCATGACACCAACCAATCCTACGACTGTGGTCCTTTGAGCTCCCCATACAAAGGCCAGAGTCATGTTTTAACCCCATTTCGGAAGCCAGGAGAGTAGGGCCCGCTTCACCTCTGGGATAAGAATATTCCAAAGGGCGGGAGCAACGGCAGAGAAGTCTCTGTTCCTAGACCCTGCTAGTAGGAGTTCTTTAACTGACTGGATCTGCAACATATCTTTCCTGTCTGATTGGGTGATACAGGCGAATGTGATGGGAAGGGGCCGGTTCCATAAGTAGTGGCTCAATGCCATTTTTGCTGAAAACTCTGCACTTCTGGTTTCCAGCAAAAATGACCCATAGCAATAATGGGTTCTTTTTATGACCATGGCAGTTACTTAACGACTGACTCAAAAAAGGTCATAAAATAGTTCCAGTCACATACTGATCCACTTTATGTCTATGGTCATAAGTTGATTTACAAAGTTAAATTGAGGATGGTTGTAACTGTTCCATTTAAAAGATACCATCAAAAAATCCCCCCCAAAGCAGGAAATGGCATCAGATAAGCAATCAAGAAAAAAACAGTATCCTAATTAAGGAACCATGGAAGAAGCTACACTGCAATCTAGACTGGCAGGGAGAGTGTGTTTTGCTTTAAGTGACAGCATTAACATAACTTTGGCTGCTGGCTCTGTTAAAAGATTCATAGATTTTATTGCTTGGTTTTACAGTTATTCACCATTCTGAGTGCTTTCATAGTGACAAACAGACAAGGTATATGAATGAATGAATGAATGAATGAATGAATGAATGAATGAATGAATGAATGTCATATAAATAGTCGTCAAGTTACGACCATTCATTCATAGTTAAAAGTTACATTGACATTGAATGAAAGGACTTATAACCCGTCCTCAAAGTTCTACCCATTGCAGTGTCCCCACAGTCAGGTTAACAAAATTTGGCTGTTTGGTAACCAGCTTGTACTTAAAACAGGTTGCAGTATCCCCAGTCACATGATCACAATTGCCAATCTTCTCTGCTGGCTTCCCACAAGCGAAGTCAAAGGAGAAGTCAGTGGGGAAAGTCTCAAGTTGCTTGGGTAAGGCTCTTCCCTTCCCGGTTTTTCTTGACTATCACACACACCATGTTCTTCCTCCCCCTCACTTGCTCACCCCCACCAGCACCCTCCTTCCCCGGCTCCCTGAGATTACACTAGACATACAGCCATCAGCACCTTTCTTTCCTGGCCTCCCTGCGCTTACACTGCATTATAGCACATTCCCAACTCATGTGCAGTCTATGCTCAGCCGCCCCCTCCTTCTGCTTCCTGTTTATTAAAGGGAGGTGGAATTATGTTATGTTAGAGTTATGATAACATCTGGGACTATCTGAATTGCTGTTGCTAAGTGATAGGGTGTTGATACGTCACTCTTTACAACTTTATCATTTAGTGATTGCAATCCCAGCTCCAGTTGCCATCGAAACTGAAGGACTGACATATGTAGCCTCTAACTGGCTTACACACCAAATACATCTTAGTTTACTGCAATAATATAAAACAGTACTACTATGATGTAGAACCTCAAAAAAATCCAGGAAAGCCCTTTGAGTTATAAAAATGCAATTTTATAAAAATTGTAAGATTAAAAGCAAACTGACAGAACCATTGAACAGTGAGTATTGCATAAATAAAAATTGTTTTAAAATGTACTTTTTTATTGTAATCATCATAGTTTCTTAGATTTCCCCCCTCTTTTTTAAGGTCGTCATTATGGTGCTGTCAGTTGTGAAGGATGCAAAGGCTTTTTTAAAAGAAGTGTGAGGAAAAATCTGACCTATAGTTGCCGCAGCAACCAGGATTGTATCATCAATAAACACCACAGGAATCGTTGCCAGTTTTGTCGGCTCAAAAAATGCCTTGAGATGGGAATGAAAATGGAATGTGAGTCTACAGTCCATAACATGTTTCTTTTCTAACAAAAAATAATGGATAGGAGTTTGGTCATTTCTGTGATTAAAAATTGTTTCTATTGTTTCTATTATTCTATTATTGTTTCTATTATTACACTGTTTGCATAGTCCCAGTCAAACTGTTTGACATGAATCTTTGGCTGAGCTTTACATTTAAATCTTCAAATGTTCAGAGGTTTGTGCTGTAAATGAAACAGTAATATGTTTCAATTGCTATATTGATTGATGGAAATGTGATGATATTCAAAACCAAAATGATTATTCTGATTTGGGAAGAGTTTATATCTTGAATATGGTAGTTTATTTTAAAAAAACTAATGGACAAGCTGAAGGGATCAATTCTGACAGCAGAACTGGGGAATGTAGCTGCAGTACAGGGTAAAATAGAGAGTCTCTAGTGTTAAATAAATCACTAACATCTTGGTTGTTCAGATCAAGAACAAAGACAGGATGTGCAATGTCTGACTGGTACTAAGAAAGTCCAGTTGCTTTTGGAAAAGCATCTCTGAGACAATCATGAGCTGGATCATTGAGAATCTCCATAGACATAAACCCAAATTTGAAGTTTCAGGAGTTCCCTCCACCACGTGGTGATGTAACTGCACTTCAGGCACTCGGTAACTGGGCCACATTTACAGTTGTCTGCAGTGTCCCATGGTCCTGTGAATGTGTTTTACAACAGTTTTGCTGAAATCCAGCATTTACTTCTGGTTTTTTGGCAAAACTGTGCCCATAGCAAACCATTGGTTTGTTTAACAACTGCAGATTCATTTCATAACCACAGTGATTCACTTTTCAACTGCTGTAAAAAACATCATAAAATTGGGCTGGTAATGTAACTGATCATTTTCCAACCATCACAAATTATAACTGGGACTAACTTGTACTTGTGTCAGTTTCAGTTTACTTTACTTTACAAAGAATTGGGATTCTTTGGAAAAATGCTAAGAGTCACCAATACTTTGGCTGTTTCTGTATGTCCTTTGAATTTAACTATATTTCATAAATGTCTATCTAGTGTGATACACTGTTCAAGTTGGTTCACAATTGTTCACTAGTTAACTGATATTGGTATTAAAATTGATACCAGTTTACAATTAGTATCATTACTAATTGTTTCAGGGCTTTTCCCCTGCATTTAAAATGTTGCATTTATGCTTTATTTTTCTGAGACCACAAATAACATGGAAAAAGATTTACAATTATTTTTGTATGTAGTGTTGCATATTTGAAAATCGTTGCTTAATCTGACACAACCTGTAAATTTCTACTTTTTTGTTGTCATTGTTTATTTCTTTTTTCCTTTTTTTCTTGGTTGTGTTTTTAAATATCTGTTAAAATAAAATAAAGTTCTAAATAGTTTAGTGCCATTAGTATATTATAGAAAACATCCCCAGACAACTTTGTATCAGAACAGGGTACATGGATACAGGATGAAATAGTCAGTATATAGACTACACCTTTGGTTAAAATGAAGCTTAAATGTGAGCAAATGCTTTTAAGAATCTATGTGTATTTGTTGTGTTCTGATGTAGCTGTACAGAGTGAAAGGAAGCCTTTTGATGTACAGCGTGAGAAACCAACCAACTGTGCTGCTTCAACAGAAAAGATATATATTAGAAAGGACTTAAGAAGTCCTCTGATAGCAACCCCAACATTTGTTGCAGATAAAGATGGGGCTAGGTAAGTAATGAATGTGTCTTTAAAGCCCTTTTAGAGTTAAATATTTAAGTTGTGAAAACATTTGAATATTATTCAGAAAGTTACTAAATTAAACAAAAACTAGTTTTATTTCCTTTTGAATTGAAACACTATTTTTATTTTACTTATTAATTTTGTCCAACATTAAAACATAGAATAAATAATAATAAGTAAAAGGAACAAAAAAAAAATAGTATGAGAAAGATTTCATTTTCATACACTCTTTTCATTCATTTTAGAACTATTTTCTTGTGTGTATAGGTATAGTATATCCTTGAGGATAAGACCATCCACAGATATGTAGATTCAAAATGTTCAAATCTTATTCTTAAATGGATTTATCCATGATGGTATACAAGTTATATATATGCTTCAAGAAAAAAATCTACTGTATATACTTGTAAATAAGCCCATCCAAATCCATTATTTTGAATGTATTTTGGCACCTAACATTCTGGACTTATATATAAGTATATACAGTATAATGCAATATCTAAAATATAAATTGTTACAGAGAGAGAGAGATCAGTGTGGGGTTTTGGTTTTTTTTACGGTGAGAACCATGTTAAGACTTGAACCTGGAATATACAGTATATCACAGAAGTGAGTACACCCTCTCACATTTTGTAAATATTGAAGTATATCTTTTCATGTGACAACACTGAAGAAATGACACTTGGCTACAATGTAAAGTAGTGAATATACAGCTTGTATAACAGTGTAAATGTGCTGTCCCCTCAAAATAACGCAACACACAGCCATTAATGTCTAAACTGGTGTCAACAAAAATTGAGAAAACAACTAGGTCTTTAACATCTCATAAAAGGCCAAGAAGACTGGGACCATTTAAATTCTGTACCAGATGAAGTTTTCAAATACTCTTCAAGGGCAACCCTCTGTAGAGTGTACTGCACTAGTCCAGTCAGGAGATTACTAGGGTATGAGTGACGATGAGCAGAGGCCCTTGATCTAGGAGCAGGTACAACTAATGTACCAGACAAAACTGCGAAAAGATCCTCCTAGCCACAAATGTATGTGCTTTACGCAGGCATCGTAAGTCCAGAAGGATCCCCACATCACACATCAGATATGTCTGGGGCACTGCAACCCCATCTACCACCAAAGATGGCATATTCCTAGAACTGTCAGGCCTCAAAACCCAATGCCACTCAAGTCTTGCCAGGGTTGAACTGAAGCCTGTTGTTCCCCATCCAGACTCTTGGCGGCCTCGGGCACTGGAATAAGATGTTCATGGATCATTTAATTCACCAGGACAGAAATATATATCAGTGTGCTGATGATACTTCACCCCATAGTGACAGAAGTGATTACTCAGTATCCTCAAGTAGAGCTGAATGGGAGTAGAGACCGCATTGAAGCCTGCAGCACCCCACACAGTAGGGGCCAAAGGCAGAATCTTTCCTATCCAATCACCAACTGGAATTGAGCTGGAAAAAGGAGGTGGGCCACCACAACACTGTACTGAAGGCAGCAGAGCGATCAAATATGGCAAGCATGGATGCATAACATTCTTCCTGCTCTTGCCAGAGATCATCCAAAAGTGTGACCAGTGCTTTTTCCATCCCTTACATGTGTCTGAATCCCTACTGAAAGGCATTCCGATAATCCGCTTCATCTGAGGTCCTCTGAAGCTGCTGCCAAACCACTTTCTCAACAATCTTCCCCAAATAGAGGAAGTTAGGTAGTGGATGAAAATTGTCCAGTACAGGTAGTTTTGTTTAACAACTGGTCACTTAAGAACTGTTCGAAGTTGCAATAGAGTAAAAAGAAGTTACTTTCAACCCATCCTCAAAGTTGTGATTGCTTCCCTCCCCCACCCCTGGGCTGGTCACATGAATGCATTTTAGGCACTTGGCAACTGGCTCGCATTAGCCACTGGTTGCAGTCTCATAGTCATGTGACCACAATTTGTAACTTTAGCCGTTTTCCAGCAGAAAACAGCAAAAGAACCACCCATTGGATATGATAGATTGACCACGTGTTTTGCTTAATAATTGTAAACATGGTTGTAAAATTGAGTGAGGCCATATGACCTGCTTAACAACCACAATTACCACCAAAATCCCAGGCTCAATTTTGGTGATAAATCAAGGACTGCCTGTATCATGAGGTCTTCTTGAGAAGGGGATAAACCAAGGCCTCTTTAAGGAGTATAAAGTATAAAGCAGTAAGAGAAGAATTAACCATTGCTAGAACCCACTGACACAATGCCCTGCAGGTTGCTTTAACAAGCCAAGAGGGACATGGATCTAAAGAGGGTGGATGTGACTGAGTTCACATCCTAAAGACCTGTCCCTGCTTTGCTGAAATTGTTTTCCTAGTCCTTCTGCCAGTTCAATATAATTTCTGCAAAAGCAAAACCAGAAAGTATTTTGATCAACAATTTCAGAAATCACAAAAATATGGATTGCAATGTTACTGTTAATGATGTAACAAAGGAATATTGTGGTCTTTATTAACATACTGTTGTTTTCCTTATTTTTATCCTCTTGAACAGATCAGCCAGTCTTCTTGATTCAGGGATGCTTGTAAATATTCAGCAGCCTTTAATACGGGATGATGGTACAGTGCTACTTGCTACAGATCCCAAGGTAGCCGTCCTTAGATTTAATTGCACAACTCATGTTTTCCTGCTTTTCCTAATTGCTGTCTTATTGTTTATGAAGAATTTATACATTAATAGATAATTTCTGCTTAGAAATATATTTAATATTCAAATCCTTGACTGATGTCATTTGGGACCAGAATTTCCGTAGCTAAGCTATGTGGTCATAAAGCTTGACCACACTGCTTAGCAATGGCAATCTCTGCTATCCTGATTGTTGTTAAACAGATCTCATGGCCATTAAGCGAGGCAACTTCCTGCTGGCTCCCTACAACCAACTCAATGGGGAAGCCAGCAGGAAGTTTCAAGTCCCAGGTAGCTATTTAGCAGCCCGGCAGCAAGGAGCATAGTGAGGCTTGGAGGATCTATGAGGGGGCAAGGGAGGTATGACAAGTCACAGGAAGAGCCTTGGTAGTACAGGGGTTTAAGGCACCCTGTTATTAAGCTTATTAAGACCAGCTGCCTGCAATTACTGCAGGGTTCGAATCTCGCCAAGGGCTCAAGGTTGACTCAGCCTTCCATCCTTTCTAAGGTAGGTGAAATGAGGACCCAGTTTGTGGGGGCAATAAGCTGACTTTGTATAAATATACAAAAGGATGAAGGCTATTGCTGAGCACATTGTAAGCCGCCCTGAGTCTTCGGAGAAGGGCGGCATATAAATCAATTTTTTTTTTTTTTTTTTTAAAAGAGTGCATAGTGGTATGTGAACTGCAAGGCGAGATTGCACACAGGTGCAACACAGGCCTGGGGAGGTAGTACACGTGGCTGGTGCACAAGGGAGTGCAAGTGGCTGGTAGAACATAAGTGCAGAGGGACTGGAAGATTTACCCCAGAGAATTGTAACTTTTCCTGTCGGCTTCCCCACTGACTTTCTGGGTATGTCAACAGGGAAAGTTGCCACAATCATCACATGATCATGGAGTGCTGCAACTGGTCATTGTATGACCTATTTGCCAAGATTGCAATCATATGGGTGCAAGGGTGCTGGGACAATCAGAACTCTGAGGACTGGTCATAACCATCATTTATTCCTCACCATCATAAGTTTGAATAGTCCCTGAACAAACGGTCGTAAGTTGAGTGCTACTTGCTCGACTATAGAATAGAGTATAGTAATGAAAAATAGGTCTGGCTTTATCAACCCCCTGATGTGTGTTATATTATTTGGTTGATATTATTTACATTTCCTAAACCTTTCTTTGTAATTTTATTCTCTTCATTTTAATTACTTTTGTATCTGTATTAGGAAACAGGCAGATTATATTTAAAGAAACTCAGCCATTTAATTCAAAGTGTTATTTTTATTTTTTTATTTTTTTTGTAGGCTGAGACAAGCCAAGGTGCTTTGGGAACACTAGCAAATGTTGTAACATCACTTGCCAGCCTTAACGAATCTCTTAATAATGGAGATACTTCAGAAATTCCACAAGAAGACCAATCTGCAAGTGAGATTACTAGGTATGTGCTTCATATTAGAAATGTTTCTAATTTGTATCTCTGACTATAAAAATATTTTTTCATTGATGAAACTAAAATATTATTGATAAAAGATATTGCCATTTTTGAAATTCATTCTCATGTTAGACTTAAGAATCAAGATAGCTGATATTTCTTAACACGGTTGAATATTGAAAAGTAATTAAGAACAGTACAAAAACAGAGTGTTGATTGTATGCTGTGTAAAAAAATAATTACAAGGGTACATATAGTATTGCAATGAGCCTTGGTAGTACTAGGGTTTAAGGCACCCTGTTATTAAGCTGCTTAAGACCAGCTGCCTGCAATTACTGCAGGGTTCGAATCTCGCCAAGGCTCAAGGTTGACTCAGCCTTCCATCCTTTCTAAGGTAGGTGAAATGAGGACCCATTTGTGGGGGCAATAAGCTGACTTTGTATAAATATACAAAAGGATGAAGGCTATTGCTGAGCACATTGTAAGCCGCCCTGAGTCTTCAGAAGGGCGGCATATAAATCAAAAAGAATCCTGTTCACATTTGAATCCATTCCATTTCATTATTTTACACTCCCATTTCATTTATTCACATCAAATAATCAGTAAAGTATGCCTGGAAACCCTGGCAATTTTCTTAGAGCTGCAAATAACTTTCTGTTTGGGGGTTGATGATGTTATTGATTGATGGACAAGATTTCAGTGGTTTTATTTTATTTCTCACTGATAAATGTAATATAAGAACATATATGATGTATATATGATACATTATTCTTATTTGCAGGGCATTTGATACTTTGGCTAAAGCACTTAATACTACAGATGGTGCCACGGCACAGAATCTAGCCGATGGGATGGATCCTGCAGGTGGTGGAAATATTCATGTCATCAGTAGGGATCAGTCCACTCCAATAATTGAAGTTGAAGGACCTCTTCTTACAGATACTCATGTGACATTTAAGGTCTGTCTCGCACTGATTTGTTTTGGCAGAGCTTATCATTAACTAATTCCTTGTAAAAATGAGTTCTCATAATGTATAAAATCAAATCACATTACATTCTTAACGTGCTGTTGAAACAGATCAGTGTTTACTCATTAAAAGGATCAAATATAACTACCAAATGCGACCATTCTGTAATTTTTTTGAAAAAAATGTTCGCTCTATAGTGCTGCATTTTAAACTTCTGATTTTGAACCATTATATTTAATTACAGGTAGTCTTTGACTTACAACCACAATTGAGCCCAAAAGTTATGTTGTTAAGCAACACATTTGTTAAGTGAATATTGCCCATTTTATAACCTTTCTTGCCACAGTTGTTAAGTGAATCCCTGCAGTTGTTAAGTTAGTAACACAGTTGTTAAATGAATCCGGCTTTCCCATTGACTTGTCATAGCAATAGCAATAGCGCTTAGACTTATATACCTCTTCATAGTGCTTTTACAGCCCTCTCTAAGCGGTTTACAGAGTCAGCATATTGCCACCAACAATCTGGGTCCTCATTTTACCAACCTTGGAAGGATGGAAGGCTGAATCAACCTTGAGCCGGTGAGATTTGAACTGCCGAACTGCAGCTAGCAGTCAGCTGAAGTAGCCTGCAGTGCTGCGGGCTACTTTAACCACTGCGCCACCTCGGCTCTTATTCAGGTCATGCTTGTCAAAAGGTGATCACATGACCTGGGACACTGCAACCGTCATAAATATGAGTCAGTTGCCAAGTGTCTGAATTTTGATCATGTGACTAGGTCGTAAGTGTGAAAAATGGCCATAACTCATGTTTTTCAGTGCCATTGTAACTTCAAATGGTCACTAAATAAACTGCTGTAAGTGAAGGATATCTGTTTTCCACATTATCGTTGTAAATTGTGACCCCTAACTACATTGAAGCACTGCAGTTATTTAAAATGCAAATAATTCTTTTTCAATAATACATGGTAAGGATTTTTTCAACTTCCATTTGAGTGAAAAACATTTTTTTTAATTATCAAAAATATTGATAAAACTATGTGAATGTTTAAAGAGATGTTCATTCATTATAAAAAGGATGTGTTTTTTTCTGGTTCTATATTATATTGATTAATATAGCAGTGATTTTAAAATATATATATTTGTAATAAACTTCATGTTGTTCTCTTGTAGTTAACCATGCCTAGCCCAATGCCAGAGTACCTGAATGTGCATTACATTTGTGAGTCTGCATCACGGTTACTTTTTCTTTCCATGCATTGGGCCAGGTCCATTCCTGCTTTTCAAGCACTAGGGTAAGAATGTGCTTTCTTTTTCCATTGATAAATACTGTATGTATTGAATGGAATCTCTAAAATAAAATATTTCATTTGTTGTACTAAAGCAAATGCTGTAAAGGTGGTCCTCGACTTCTGACCACAATTGACCCCAAAATTTTCACTGCTAAGCAAAGCAGTTGTTAAGTGAGTTGTGCCCATTTTATAATCTTTTTTGCCAGAGTTGTTAAGCGAATCATGTAGTCGATCATGAATCTGGCTTCGTCCATTGACTCTGCTTGTCAGAAGCTTCCAAACCCAGGACCCCGGGACACTGCAAACATCATAAATACATGCCGGTTACTAAGCACCTGAATTTTGATCACATAACTGTGGGGATGCTACAAGCGCCATAAGTGTGAAAACCGGTCATAAGTCACTTTTTTTCAGTGCCGTTGTAACTTCGAACAATCGTTAAACAAGTGGTTGTGACTTGAGGACTACCTGTATTGAAGCTGCATTGTCAAGCTTCACAATTTTAGTTGTACAACATATGAAAAGCTATAATGAGTTAGACTAGATATACTTTTTTGCAAATTTCATTTGGCTTTCAATAAAACACAAAGGAAAAATATTAAGCTCAAGTCAAAAAAAGAACAAGAATATACAGAAATTAAACATAAATTACCCATTAAATAGTTTTTCAAAGGAAAAATAAAATTATTTGGAAGTCAATTAACATTATAAAATATTACATAAATCTAGGTGTGCAATTTGAATAATTAAGAAGGATAATTGCAGAAACTAGATCCAAAAACAAAGTTCAGGGTGCCAATTACAAAACTGTTTGTGTATCTTTTGATGATATAAAAACTATAAAAAGTAATTCAGTTTGAAAACCTTTTAGCTTCATTCATAACATTCCCTTCAGAGATCTTCTCTGATAGTATTTCTTTTCTTAAACCTTTCAGAAGAAATAGCATGTTTACCCTACTTTAAAAATGTATATATCTGTCCACGTTCCAATTTTAAATTATTAATAAACACCATGATTGTGTTAATAACTGCATATACTTGTAGTTGCTGAGAGGTACTATGAATGTATTTTGGCTTGTAAATAGTGATCCCAAATTATATCGCATACCTTGAGCATGTTAGGACTAAAACTAGGTTTTGATAATGCTTCTGGTGTTGGCCAAATTGTGCCAAAAATATTTTGTTTGTGATCAGGGAATGTTGTAAAGACATATGAAAGGTAAGAATTTGTATTTTGGTATTAGTGGCCCATTCGACTTCACTGAATGGTGATAATGGAAGAACTAGGGATTAGTTTGGGGAAAATAATTTGTGATGTAAACTAATGTGAACAGGGGGGAAATTATTCAATTAAATGATATGAATGGGTGGATGGGATTCAGACGATAAAAGTAATAATTTAGTAGTATAAATAGATAATTTAGAAACCCTGGAATGATTGGGAATGATTGATAATTTAGAAAAAATGTTGTTTGTTTGAATACAGGTTTAAGCATATGCCTATTAAATGATGATTTATTTGATTGTTTATGATGAATGACTGGGAGAATTACTGAAAGACCCATGAGTAATGAGAGGCTCTGATGTGACACAGAACAGTTTTGGATACTGTCAAGAGTGGAGCTTTAAAAAGTAGACATAGAAGAAAAGGAAAAAAATGAAATACATTAATGACTATAGGACAACTGTAGGAAAAGATGTCCTGTATGAAAGAAAAAGTATTAAAAAGTAGTTTAACCTCACAATAGAAACTGTGGAAGATGGGTATAAGATATTGAAAGATATAACAGAGTTCCATAGAAGTGAGTAAAATTATGCTAACAGAAAGTATAGAAAAGGATTACAGATTACAGATTAACAGAGTTGGAAGGGACCTTGTAAATCATCTAGTCCAACCCCCCACCCATGCAGGAGACTCTACACCAGTGGTTCTCAACCTTCCTAATGCCACGACCCTTTAATACAGTTTCTCATGTTGTGGTGACCCCCAACCAGGGGTGGGTTCTAATTTTTTTTACTACCGGTTCTGTGGGTGTGGCTTATTTTGTGGGCGTGGCTTAGAGGTCATGTGACTGAGTGGCCGTGGCTAGCTGGTCATGTGACTGGGTGGCCATGGCTATGTGTATAGGGACTACTCAGAGGGCTGAAAAAAGTCATTTTTGACTGGTCCTCACACTTATGACCATCCTCACATTTATGCCTGTGCAGCATTCTTAACAACCATGTCACTCATTTCACTACTGCTTCTCTTCAACATGGTATAAGATAGGGCAAAAAACGTAAAATGTGAGGACAGTCGTAAGTTCGAGGACTGGTCAAAAGTGCGAGGACCAGTCAAAAATAACTTTTTCAGCCCTCTGAGTAGTCCATATGCATAAAAGGATACAGCAATAGAGAGGGATAAAGAAGGGAAGGGAAATTAGAGTAGGAGTGAAGGTAAGAGAGGGAGGAAGAGAGGAGGAGAAGGAGAAAGAAAGAGGAAGTAGGGAGAAGAAGAAGGGGGGAAGAGAAAGTAAGTAAGAAAGAAAAGACAGAGGTGGTAGGTTTGAGGAGAAAGATTGCTGTACAATAAAAAAGATGAAAGGGAAGAAAGCCAACCCCAAACAAATATTAAGATATTAAGATAAAGAATGAATTGTTAAACTTTAAAGAATAAAAGAGAACAAATAGCAATAAATAGCAATAATTAGAAACACACATACAAACATACAACGTATTTTCTTTGAACAGAGTATTTGGCCGGTTCACAAATTTAAACAGTTGTAGGAGGTTAGCACCCACCCCTTTCCTAGAAGAATGAAATATTTTGGGAAATATTAAAAAGGCAGAATATTATATTTTCCTGTATGAGAAATGGAGAAGCATATTTTACAGACAAAGCAACTCCCACCTTCCTGCCCCCCACCCTTTGTTAATGGGCCAGAGGCAGAAACTCAATCCTTTGTCAAAGGACATTTACAACACAATAGCAACAGAAACTAACACAATGGGCCTCATCAAGCCATGTGATCCTGTCCACCATTAAACCATCTTTCCAAGCAGTCTCCATGTTTCCAGTGTCTTTTTCCCTACTTGAAGCAGAACCCAGAAGGATATTTCTTCCAACACAGTATTTAGTCAATTAAATTTACAATTTCTATATTTCCTTTTTACCATATTTATGCCTCATCTATTTTTTTAAAAAACCAATATTATCCTTCATCCTCATCTCTAATCTTAATCAAATTCAATTTTTCCCTTCTATTCTATATTATACCCCTTCTATTTTTATATCCATCTTCACATTGGTTAATTATGTAATTATGTAATACAGTTGTTTAATACAAATTCAACATTTTAATATAAATCAATTAGTTATATAACTACCTTTTTTGTATATTAATCAATATGAACATGAATATTCCAATTATTTCCATGCAATCCAATTTCTTACAAATCAATTAATTATATTTACCAATAATAATAAACCAAATAATTTCCCCCATATATTCCTCCAAACCACAACTTAACCATTTCTGCTTTCAACACAATATGCAATTAATAGTATCTCAATTATTAGAATTCCCTAGTTAAATAGAGCTTTTTTTCTTCTGTGTTTTAAAATCTTGAACCTCCTCTTGCCCTAAATTTCCCATTGTTTGCAGTTTGCATCTACCTTTTTTGGTGAGGAAAAAGAAATCTCTCTGCCTCATTTTGTCACGTTACAGCCAAGACCCTGCTTACTTTCAACTTTGCTTTTTCAGCATAGCTAGGGGAAAAAAATCTGCTCCAGGAATTTACCTCTTTGCAGCTAGCTAGCAACAGAGCCCTCCGCAAAACAGCTGAGAGTAGGGCGGGTCTTTGAAGCCCGGCAGCAAGAATTTAAAGTTTTTTTCCCCTCTAGCCATTAGCTGGGACTCCGGAGGCAGCAATAGATTGGGAGTGGGTGGGGTAAGTGAACTGCGACCGGGCGATCCAGCAGAGGCAGAGGGTGAGGGTGAGTGAAGGCATGGGGGGGTGAGAGAGGGCTTTGGCGACCCCCGTGAAATGGCCGTTCGACCTCCAAAGGGGTCGCGACCCCCAGGTTGAGAACCGCTGCTCTACACCATTTCTGACAAATGGCAGTCTAATCTCTTCTTGAAAGCCTTCAATGATGAAGCTCCCACAGGCAAGCTGTTCCATTGGTTGATTGCTCTCATTGTCAGAAAATTTCTCCTTATTTCCAGGATAAATCTCTCCTTGTTCAGTTTCCATCCATTATTCCTTGTCTGGCCTACAGGTGCTTTGGAAAATAGCTTGACCCCTTCCTCTCTGTGGCAGCCCCTCAAATATTGGAACTCTACTGTCATGTCTCCCCCGGTCCTTCTCTTCATTAGACTAGCCCAGTTCCTGTAACAGTTCTTCATATGTTTTAGTCTCCAGTCCCCTAATCATCCTGGTTGCTCTTCTCTGCACTTTTTCTAGAGTCTCAACATCTTTTTTATAGTGTGGTGATCAAAACTGGATGCAGTACTCTTGGTGTGGTCTTACTAAGGCTTTATAGAGTGGTATTAGTACTTCACTTGATTTTGATTGTATCTCTCTGTTAATGCAATTTAGGATTGCATTGGCTTTTCTGGCTGATGCTGCACACCGCTGGCTCATATTTAGCTGGTTGTCCACTAAGACTCCAAGATCCCTCTCACAGTTACTGCTATTAACCCTGGTTTCACCCAGTCTATATTTGTATATTTATATTTTGGTTTTTCTTGCTTGGTTTTTTATATTTTGGTTTTACTTTTCTCTACATTGAATTTCATTTCATTAGATAGGGCCAGTATTCAAGTCTGTCAAAATCCATCTGGATCTTGAGCCTGTCTTCTAGGGTGTTAGCTATTCCTGCCAGCTTAGTATCATCTGCAAACTTGGTAAATTCCCCTTCTATTCCCTTATCTAAGTTGTTTATGAAAATATTGACAAATACTGGGCCTAAGACAGAACCCTGTGGTACATCACTGCTTACTTCCCTCCATGTAGACTTAGAC